ATGTGTAAGTAGGTTATGCCATAATAATAATTATTGCATATTGTACGTAAGCAAGTAATGTAATGCGAAGTATTGTAAGCAGGTTTTTTAATGTATTCTAAGTGATTTTTGTAAGTTAGCAAAAGGATTAAAAAAAAAAAAACTTTCGTAAAAAGACCCTTCAGACGGCCCAGGAAGGCGAAAAAACACCACACATGGGTTGATTAACGTTTCATTTAACTTTATTGGGAATTCACTGTTCAGAGCTTTTCATAACCCTCATAGATTCTGTTCTTTTCATATTTAATAACCACGAACACATAGAGTGGTCTGCCAGTGTTACAACTAGCGCGAGCAAATCTTATTCAGTGGCGGATCTAGGAGAGGGAACGGGGGGCGTACAAAAGGTGTTTTTCCTATCACGGGAAGTACGGATGTCTGATCGAAAACAGTTCAATTAGCAAACATTTCTCAACACTTTTGTCCCTGATTGTAGATGTTGAGAGAATTGCCTATTTGTAAACACCTTGTTTTCATTGCCATGGTAACACAAATATTAATCAAGCAAACGTTTTTGAAGACTCCTTACTATCTCTAGTATCTGTAAATCACCGGCTATGCCTGACCGAACAGACAGTTATCGAGTTTTGAAAGTTGAGATGGTGTGTGTCTGAAAGGTCGACAATGGACCTAAAAGCTCTTAGTCTTACCTTGTCTGTATTCTTTGCAGATGTTTGCTTCTTGTTTAGAAAAAACCTCTATTGATGGACTTGTGCTCTGTCTTCGAGCACTTGCAATAAAATAATAACTTAAGCAATTTGAATAAAACCAAATTCTCGAACCTGATTGGTTGTCAGTACATCCTATCCTTTTAGTTACCAAATTGGAGCTTGACTAGCTCAGGCGTCCAATGGAAAGATCTCTAATAACAGTTTCCAATAACGTTGTTCAAAAATAAATCGTTCGGAGAGCGCGCTTTACTAGAATGATGATTTCCTCTATATCATTTAAACTTTTCAGAAATGGTCCTTTCCCAGCGCGTCATAGTATTCGTTTACTTGAACTCTTGTAAAGAATACTTCCTTTTTTAAATATTA